ACACACGGACACACAGACAACCTCTCGTCAATATGCGTTTTTCACATTGCATTGCTGCAAAAAACGTATAAAAACTGCCAAAAGAATCTTTTCCTAGCTCGCTGTTCTTTAAAAAGCACATATCTATATTAAGCACTTCCAAGAAACTGTTCCAGTAATGCAGCCAGACCTCCGTTTTTGCTTTGGAAATCATCATCCTGTAAACACCATCATTTTTTGTTTCTCTAATTTCATTCCAGACATACCAGTCATCGTCCAGTGCAGTGCGTATTCGAATCCTGCCTCGGGCTGTTTCTTATCTGAACAGTGTCGCAGCAGAAATACTTGCCGAGCAACTACCACGTCTCTCCATCCCAAACATCAAACAGCGGATCAATAATGGCCAAGGGTACATCTTGCTTTCGGATATCCGTGTATCGAGGTACAAACGCGCTTCCGTGCATACGATTTCCACGTCGGCACCAAATAAACTCACCTGGGTCATGAAGAACTTGAATATGGGGTAACTTCTGATTTGTTTCTTCTTAAAAATTCATTGGCCCATAAGCCAATTAAAATAGACATTTATCTAGAAATTGTGATTTTTGTTGGAATATTCCGCACCGGATGTCTGATGCTTTAATCCAACGAACTGAAAATGAACGTTAAAGGCTGATTGGTGATTTATCCGGAGAAATCAATATCGTGGTTCCAGTGAAGCTTGAAGGTGAAGCCGAAGTGTTGGCGCGTGGTGTTAACTTCCACCTGGAGAGCGCGTTGGAGCGGTCACAAACGGGCGCCGCACGAGTAACAACGATTTCCTGTCGAACAACAATTCAAACTATAAATATCGAAATTTATAATGGCGGTATTGCTGGACTAGCACTCAACTTGTTCAAGGTATTAAAATTTGATCAAAACATCAACGGCAGGTTTTTCTGGAGTGCTGCCCGCTCTGCCCTACGGGGTATCCCATCCCGGACTTTCAGAAAACGAGGCAATCTCTGCGCAGTAATTTCGAAATTTCAGCAAGCAATTACGGGGCATATTCGACCATTTATTCAAGCGTTGATATGCAAAAAAATCACTCTCTTTATCAACGAGGATCTCAATAACAAGTTATCACAAACGCAGACAAAGACATCGTTGGCGGACGCGGTCCGGACTAACACATTCGGAGCCCTCCTTGGACTACCCGACAGTGCGCAACTAATCGAAAGCTTCCGCTCATTCAACATCAATGCCACTTACCCTTTCTTCAACGTGAGTTTTTCGCCCTTTCAAAGTTTGCGGATCTGTGCTTTCGGGCAGTGATGTTATTTTTGTTTGGAATGGGCCCATAGCCAGTGGTCTAGGCATGCCGAAATATTTCGGGGAGAAATACAAATCCAGGTCAAGGTCCACACCACTCATTTTCCTCATAAAAAATCTCCACTGCAAGAGCACAAAAGCCATAGTTTTTATTGCCTTCAAAACTAAGATCCATAAAAATCATTCAGTGAGCTTTCGAATTTTTCCGCCAATCTATAAGAGAAAGATTCCAGAAACTTTTGTGAAATCATCCCAGATGTCCATAAAAACAGTATAAGTTTGACAACAGTATAAGTCCAAATCTTCGTGAGCTGTTCTACAACTGCTCCAGTTCTTCCAGATATTTTCGCTACAAAGGCTCCCCTTTTGAGGAAGCTTGAGAACCAGAATTAAGAGATTTTTTTTTAGGTGAATATATTTCTTTTTTAAAAAACAGGTATTTGGAAAAGAGATTTTTGTTAGAGATATTTTTAAAAAAAGTATTTGCAGCAATTAGCCTCGAGGACTTACATTGACTTCAGGTCAGTTGAAGCTTAGAAATGTGCAAAAACACTTTTGCTTTGCTTTCTTTTTGTAGATCGTTTTGCAGCATTTGGGCTTCGCTACTCAACTTTTTTGTTTTGCTAAGTGGATATTTTTTGAAATCTAGCTTGTTTTCCAAGCCGAGATGTAGAGGAGTGAGCCCTCGTCAGCACTATCAATGCGCCACTTTTCGCAGTGAGTACAATGCATTGTAAACATAGGCCAGTACAGGGAAAGTGTAGCAATGGATGGCGACCCTGAATCCAGCTGAACACAAATCATCACAGAGACGAACTTTTACAAGATGGCAGAAGTTGTTGTAGGTGTGCGCAGTATACGGTAGCAAAATTAGAGATATGTGAGTGAGTGGCATACATACAGATATAGGTGCTCAAGTTACTGTGTGTAAGCACATAAACCTGTTAGTGCAGTGGGTAACAGATTGCGATTCGAAGAATACTGTATCTCAGTGACATTCCTCACACGAACAGTCCAGATGATTCTGTATCAGCGCAAGAATCAGCACCGGTTTCCGGCTTGACTTATGAAGCACTGTCCGACAGAGAAGAACTGATTGCTTTAGAAGTGCAGTTTGTAGAGAATAATTAAAATTTGAAAAGCTTTATAAGTTTATGAAAGCGATTCACACTTTGGTTGCGCAGTATTTTATGAGAAAATAGCTTGCGGTGCTTACTGATCCCAAAAATGCCGGAAAAGAGCTCACTGCGCTTTGTGTGTTTTTGCATTCATCCTCTAACAGTTTGTTATCATATTCAGCGAACTACTCTGCTCTATCAGCACGAAATGTGTTCTTTTCCAGACTCAGTGAAGATCCCGTATGCTATACGGATACGGTGGAAATAGCTAACCTGGGAGAAATTTCGATAATAGGAGCAAACAAAAACACCACGCCATTCGATGTTCCACCAATGACCTGGAATACGAGTTCCGAAAATTCGAATGCAATGATACATCTGCTGATATCCGATTACATCGCCAACGCACTACTTTATCATGCCTTCTCGTCAGTTATCATTTTATTTCTTCAATGAACGTTATTCGAATCAGCAATGTAACGCCAGAATGCGATGAAGAAAGTGGGTCAGATTAAACTACTGTGGCTTCAGTGCTCGAAAATCAGCTGTAAAACGCTAGATTATGTTGAAATGCATAAAACGCAATAAAAAAAGCTAAATTTAAATGACTTTCTGCCTGAAAAACAAAGGATGATAGAGCAAAAGGCTGTGCCAAATTTAAGGCGATTCTTCAAAAGCTTTTTGGACAGCGATTTGCCTGAATTTCATTGAGAATATCGAAATCTCCCTGGCAGTCGTTGTGGGATTTCCACGTGAGTGATACTACTGAAACGCTCCCACGTACTGGAAGCAGCCATTCTGTCGGCTTGGTTGATTTTGTACAAGCAGTCTGATGAGCTTGTGTCTTATTAGCAAAAAAAAAACTGAACAGAGGAATTAAAACAAAAAATTTTTGCAGATCGTCGAAGCTTTTTCTTTTCCGGATGAGTCCAGACTTGAAATCGTCAAATTTTCAGTTTTTTGGTTTTTTTTAGATAAAGACATTTTCAGAGAGCACTTATTGCAATTTATTGTGGACGAGCGAACAGTATCATCGCTGGGCCCCTTGCTCCGTACGTCGTGCTCATCCGGAATATGTTTTGCAGATCTCATACCAAAACTAGCAGAGCAATATCCGGATAACAAAGTGCGGCTTGTTTTTACTCCTACTCGAGCGCCTGTGGTGCTTTTCCAGGCCAAACAAGACGGTTTGATACCTTTCTTTTTATTGATACCTTCCTTAGATTCACTCATGCATAATAGAATGCCTCACTCTGGTGTACAAGTAACGTCGGGACTAATATTCGCCTAGCTTCCCACAAACAAAGGGACTGCTCGAATAGCTTTCTGTGGTGTGAAAAACCGAGGCGAAACCAAAACACATTAATCATGATGGTGCGTCAAACAGTTATAACGGGACAACCAGGATAGATCATCTAGGAATAATCAAAGGCCTTCTGCAGAGAATTCCGAGGACTTCATTGCTCGTAGATGTTGAACTCATTTCCATTTTACCACAATTTTTTTTTGATTTCAGGGATACTGACCGTAAATGTGAATGGTTTGGTGTTCTTGTATATTGTATCAGCGAATCAAACAAGCCAACAAGCTGGAGCGTTTTCTCTAGATATCGTTGCCAGTACGCATTTGCATATCGAAGTACGTTCACTTACTGCTCACATAATTAACATGTAAGCGTGCCCGAGAATAATATTAGGAGTAGCCGAAATTCACCTTCAGCTTGCTTGTAATCGGCCTTTGAAAGAGGAAACCATCGGCAGCTTTGCCAATGGACAGTTGTTCTTGGCACTTGCTACCACTTGGACTACTTCCCGAATACTTCTGCCCATCATAAATAATTGGCCAACGCACGGCCTGCCCGTGTGAAGATGCGTTTTTTGCATA